TAAAAAAAATACAAATGAACTGTGGACGAGGCCTGGTCACAGACCGGGCCGCGGGGGCGTTGACCCCTCAAAAACCCCTCCAGGTATACTGCGAAGCTCTAGCAGCAACAGTCTAGTTGATCAAGCAGTGAAACAGGAAGACTCACAGCTAGAGCCCTCAAAACCAGTAACGAGTACATTACCGGACCTGCAACAGGATCATAACATTCAGAGGAACTCACGAGTACATTACCGGACCTGTAACAGAATCATAATATTTAGAGGAACTCGGGATCAAATTTCGAAACTCGCCGATGTGGTAATCCCATTGGAAAATATTATATACTACTCCTAATAGCTGCAAACCGGATCAGCTGGTTGGAGAATATGTTTTTTTTTTTTTGTTTTTTTTAGTAGATGTTAAATAAGGAGTGAGGTTAACGACCTCAGTATGAGGTATACTCAACGGTCTGCTATGATGTAATTAAGCCTTGCTTAAGCATAGATGGGAAGAGTTATAATGATTTGATAGGATATTGGTTTGATATATTCTTAGTGGTGGTTCTAGTGGTGGTTGTGGTGGTGGTTGTGGTGGTGGTTGTGGAGAGTGGTGAGTGGTGGTGGTTGTGGTGAGTGGGAGGGAGGTTGATGTTATTGGTGGTGATGGTGTTCCTGATATTGGTGCTGGTAGTAGTAATACACACACACACACACACACACACACACACACATATATATATATATATATATATATATTATCACACTGGCCGATTCCCACTAGGGAAGGGTGGCCCGAAAAAGAAAAACTTTCACCATCATTCACTCCATCACTGTCTTGCCAGAAGGGTGCTTTACACTACAGTTTTTAAACTTCAACATTAACACCCGTCCTTCAGAGTGCAGGCACTGTACTTTCCGTCTCCAGGACTCAAGTCCGGCCTGCCGGTTTCCCTGAATCCCTTCATAAATGTTACTTTGCTCACACCCCAACAGCACGTCAAGTATTAAAAACCATTTGTCTCCATTCACTCCTATCAAACACGCTCACGCATGCCTGCTGGAAGTCCAAGCCCCTCGCACACAAAACCTTCTTTACCCCCTCCCTCCAACCTTTCCTAGGCCGACCCCTACCCCGCCCTTCCTTCCACTACAGACTGATACACTCTTGAAGTCACTCTGTTTCGCTCCATTCTCTCTACATGTCCGAACCACCTCAACAACCCTTCCTCAGCCCTCTGGACAACAGTTTTGGTAATCCCGCACCTCCTCCTAACTTCCAAACTACGAATTCTCTGCATTATATTCACACCACACATTGCCCTCAGACATGACATCTCCACTGCCTCCAGCCTTCTCCTCGCTGCAACATTCATCACCCATGCTTCACACCCATATAAGAGCGTTGGTAAAAACTATATTCTCATACATTCCCCTCTTTGCCTCCAAGGACAAAGTTCTTTGTCTCCACAGACTCTTAAGTGCACCGCTCACCCTTTTCCCTCATCAATTCTATGATTCACCTCATCTTTCATAGACCCATCCGCTGACACGTCCACTCCCAAATATCTGAATACATTCACCTCCTCCATACTCTCTCCCTCCAATCTGATATCCAATCTTTCATCACCTAATCTTTTTATCTTCATAACCTTACTCTTTCCTGTATTCACTTTTAATTTTCTTCTTTTGCACACCCTACCAAATTCATCCACCAATCTCTGCAACTTCTCTTCAGAATCTCCCAAGAGCACAGTGTCATCAGCAAAGAGCAGCTGTGACAACTCCCACTTTGTGTTTGATTCTTTATCTTTTAACTCCACGCCTCTTGCCAAGACCCTCGCATTTACTTCTCTTACAACCCCCATCTATAAATATATTAAACAACCATGGTGACATCACACATCCTTGTCTAAGGCCTTCTTTTACTGGGAAATAATTTCCCTCTTTCCTACATACTCTAACTTGAGCCTCACTATCCTCGTAAAAACTCTTCACTGCTTTCAGTAACCTGTCATACGCCTTTTCCAAATCCATAAATGCCACAAAGACCTCTTTAGCCTTATCTAAATACTGTTCACTTATATGTTTCACTGTAAACACCTGGTCTTACTCTTAATTCTTTCAATAATAACTCTTCCATACACTTTACCAGGTATACTCAACAGACTTATCCCCTATAATTTTTGCACTCTCTTTTGTCCCCTTTGCCTTTATACATAGGAACTATGCATGCTCTCTGCCAATCCCTAGGTACCTTACCCTCTTCCATACATTTATTAAATAATTGCACCAACCACTCCAAAACTATATCCCCACCTGCTTTTAACATTTTTATCTTTATCCCATCAATCCCGGCTGCCTTACCCCCTTTCATTTTACCTACTGCCTCACGAACTTCCCCCACACTCACAACTGGCTCTTCCTCACTCCTACAAGATGTTATTCCTCCTTGCCCTATACACGAAATCACAGCTTCCCTATCTTCATCAACATTTAACAATTCCTCAAAATATTCCCTCCATCTTCCCAATACCTCTAACTCTCCATTTAATAACTCTCCTCTCCTATACAAGAAGGAGTCCCAAAAGTCTAGAAAATATGGAGAACTTGCCCATCATTATATGTTTGTTCCCATAGGCTCAGAGACCCTTGGCTCATGGGGAAAGAGTGCATCTAATTTCCTTAAGGAGCTGGGAAAAAGACTCATCAGGGTAACTAGGGATCCCAGGGCAGCTAGTTTTCTGTTCCAGCGGCTCAGTGCGGCTGTTCAAAGGGGTAATGCATGCTGCATTTTGGGCACACGCCCCAGCTCTGAGGAGCTGGATGAGATTTTCGCCTTATAATCGGTGATACACACGTAACAACATGTACCGTATATGCCACCTTTATATATATATATATATATATATATATATATATATATATATATATAATATATATATATATATAATATAATATATATAATATAATATATTATATATATATATATATATATATATATAATATATATATATATATATATATATATATAAACACTGATCTCTGGCTGAAGGAGACTCGAACCTAGGAACCTTGGAACAAGGTACGCAGTGCTTTACCAATCTACCCACACTGGTTCGAGTCTCCTTCAGCCAGAGATCAGTGTTTGTGTATATTTCGCCTGCTCTTGCGAATTCCTTGCATTGTTAATATCTCTAGTAAGGCTGATGCATGCAGGGGATGAGATGAAAAGCTGTAAGCCTTCTCCCTGAAAGCTGGCTGCCTTGGATCAAAGTCTAGCGCAAGCTGGACTCCAAGGTATTGGTCCAGTACGGGTAGATTGGTAAAGCACTGCGTACCTTGTTCCAAGGTTCGTAGGTTCTAGTCTCCTTCAGCCAGAGATCAGTGTTTGTGTATATTTCGCCTGCTCTTGCGAATTCCTTGTATGTTAAATATATATATATATATATATATATATATATATATATATATTATATAATATATATATATATATATATTATATATATATATATATATATATATATATTTATATATATATATATGTCGTGCCGAATATGTAAAACTGGTCAATTGGCAAGAACTCATTTAAAATTAAGTCCTTTCTAAAATTTTCTCTTATACGTTTAAAGATATATTTTTTTCATTAATGTTAATGTAAACATTTTTAATTTTGCTCCAAAAGAATCTTAGAAAACTTACCTAACCTTATTATAACAAGAACAATTTATTTTAGCCTTACCCAATTAAATATATTTTAGATTTGTTTACAGTAATTTAATAATAAACAAACACAGTGAAATATATTTTTTTCGTTAGGTTCAGAATGATTTTGGTGAAATTATTGCATACACAAATTTTCGCTTACAACAAGATTAGCCCCGGAGCTAAGGGGAATGGCATGCGAAGAAGGGTTAAGGGAAATCAACCTGATGACACTAGAGGATAGGAGGATTAGGGGAGACATGATAACGACATATAAAATACAGCGAGTAATTGACAAGGTGGATAGAGACAGAATGTTCTAGAGATAGGACAGAAACAAGGGATGACTTAGTAGCGATCATTGAGATCCGGGGCCAGAAGCTATGAATCGACCCCTACAACCATAATTAGGTGAGTACATAGAAGTGTCATTTTTCACAAATGGATCATTACTTGTTCTAATTGAAGTCACTAAGAAGTGTAAAGATAATCAGGATGAACAAGATGAAGAAAATGATGAAGATAATGAAAAAGAATACAGAGAAGGGGTCGAAAAAAAAGAGAAACAGACAATGCTAAGGGGAAAAAAAGAATAAGAGGAGAATGAAAGGTTGGGAAAAAAGTGTAATATATTTATATATATATATAATATATAATATATAAAAATAATATATATAATATAAATTTTTATAGGGCGTGCCGAAAGGGAAACTTGCGATCTTGGCTTAAATAGCAAACCCCATCTTGCCATATAGGACAAGTGAAAGAAATTGATAACTCAAAGAATTAAATCAAATAATCACATGACGATATGAAAAGCATTAGGAAGAATAATCCTTTGACACCTGGTGACCTGGTGTTCGTGACGCCTCGGAGGAGGTCACAGGTCAACGCCGCGCTGCTTCGGTAAATCGCTCGGTGAACCAGCTGGTGAAGGTGGGTAATAACAGTCTTACCTACCCATGTTTATACCGAAACTAAACAAAAAATGTGGATTTTTCTCGAAACTGGTGCTCAGAATTTTTGGGGGGGAAGTTCTTCAGAGGATATAGTGTAATAACAAGATAGAAAACAAAAAATAACAGAATCCATGGCAGGTTAGCACGCTAGCATGCCAGTTTTTAATACTCCTGCCGGCGGTTCGAGACCACACCCGTTCTGTGATCTAGAAATCAAACATGTTTAACAGAGAAAACCTGTGGAGGTATAATCGTACAGATAGGAAAAAAGTAAACAATAACTGGATATATTTTTGCTACCCTCTGCCCAGTCCAAGATGGTGGCAAGGTGGAGGCATATAAAGCTAGTGACGGCTGGAGAGACACCAGTGAGCCGAGCAGTGTGAGTGGGGTTGTACGCACCCTCCCGCCCTTCTCTTAGTGACTGGATCAAATACGTTTTCACGGTAGGTGTCTACAGAGTGATATATAGTAGAGTACGAGAGTGTCCCAATGTACACCATGATAAATCAGTGAAGCATAAGCAAGTATATAGTCGTAATACTTTCAAAGATTGAAGAACTGTACCATAACTCAAAGAGGAAGTTGAACTTTGAGTTTAGTTCATTACTCTTCAGGTCTGATGACTACACGTGGTTCATTGCACCGTAGTTGCAGTTCACTTGCACTCTAGCATCATAACACTTTAAACCCCCCTTAAATAGAGAGTATAAATGTATTTATGCGCCTATACACCTCCCAGTGAGTTTTGAATAACCTTACACACAAGTTTACGTCCAAAATAAAGAGTTAAAGACGCACACGAGAGTAACGTTTAAACTTGCATTTCTACTTTCCTTCTCTGTTAAACTTGCTCATCCCACAAATTTCCTAAACAGCGTAAACAGAAAAAGAGAAAGTGCTAAGACATAGAAAGACAGAGAAAGTTAGAAATACAGAAAAAGAACGACAAAAGCAGAAAGAGAAAGCCAGAGAGAGAAATATGCAAATATTTGAAATGCTTAGTGACTTCAACTCCACCAAGTAATGATCCATTTGTGAATAATGAGATATATGTGAATATATACCACTTGCTCGTGGATGTGTATATATATTATATATATTATATATATATATATATATTATATATATATATATATATATATATATATATATATATATATATATATATTATATATATATATATATGGCATGTATGAGCGTAGTTAGACTGGAGTGAGAGAAATAGTGGTGAGTGAGGTGTAGGTGGTATGAGCAACTTGCACTGCACGCAAGGTGGCAGCTTGATAGATGATTCACTGCTAGTTGCTACACATTAATTTCGTGTTAAACAATATAAAGAAAGACAGGCAAGGTTCTGTCTTTCTATATATACTTCCTGGTTCTCTCTGGTAGAAACGTCATTGTCCAGAAAAATGTTGGAGAAGAAGGCATAGCCGCAGAGTTTTTTATTATGACAACGTTTCACTCTTACGTACAGCTTGTGATAGAGCGAAACTATGTAACAATTAAATCTTGATATTGATGTGCAGCGTTGTATAGCCCTTGTGGCTTAGCGCTTCTTTTTTATTATAATAATAATAATAAAATTGATATTAATGTGTACCTTTTACTCTGTCTTGTGTGTGTCTCGACTTCGTACCCAGGAAGCTGATGTTGGACAGTCTCTGTCTTTCTTAATGACTGGGCAGAAAGGGAAGGTGGTAAGGTGATTAACCTGCTCAGCACTTTCGCATGCTTCGTGTATATACCCACCCGAGAAGCCTCGCAAGGGAAGTTCCTTGATCCAAGTATTTGAACCTGTTCTCCCTTACTTGAGACGAATCCTGTTTATCTATGATTCCCTCTAAGAGCTAAAACCTCTGCTGGTTTGGCGGTCAAGTAAATATACATAAATAACCGGCACATAGAAGAAAGAAGCTTCTACCTCTACTACTATTCCCTCTCTTCAATCCCCCTTTCTGATTACCGCTACTCCTACCAGCTACTATTATTCCAACTCTACCACTACTTCACTTCTTTCTTCCTCTCTCTGTCCCGTTTCTGTCCCCCTCGCCTATATATACTGGCTCCCTCACCTTCGTATGTTAATGTGACTTGTAAATTATTCAAGCTGGACCGAAATGTTGTCATGAGCTTCACTCTCATATGTGCGGGTTATTTGTATATTGTTCCAGTCACGGTATTGTGCCTTTTTGTTCTTCTTGTAAATGGTAATAATAAGAATACTTCCTTTTATCTGAGTAAATATTGATCAGGTCTACTTAAGTTAGAGGATTTAACTTTGTGATATCCACGTGTTGCGTGGGTTGCTGTTTCATGTATCCACGTGTTGCGTGGGCTGCTGTTTCATGTATCCACGTGTTGTGTGGGCTGCTGTTTCATGTATCCATGTGTTGCGTGGGCTGCTGTTTCATGTATCCACGTGTTGTGTGGGCTGCTGTTTCATGTATCCATGTGTTGCGTGGCCTGCTACTTTATGTATCCACGTGTTACGTGGGTTGCTTCATCACGTATCCATGTGTTGCGTGGGCTGCTACTTTATGTATCCACGTGTTGCGTGAGTTGCTGCTTCGTGTATCCACATGTTGCGTGGGCTGCTGCTTCTGGTATGCACAAGAGGTGAGAGGTGCTGCCTCAGCCTTCCTGAATCCTGAACCAGCAGAACAGGTTACTGGGTGAGGGCTGCATCACGCCTGATTAAGTCTTATTGTCATCCTGGCAATAAGGTGACGGAGAGAGTTGCCAGCACCTATAGATCCGAGTCCTTCACCATTAATCTGTTTTGATTCGAATAGTGAGAGAATAGCTCAAATTTTCGGGATCTAGAGCCTTTCAACAGCCTCACCACATCCCCTTACCTCTTGCCAAGGAAAGGTGTGTATAAGCCAAACATTCTGACATCATAAGAGGTTCGCCCTAATAATGCAGCCTAGACGTACTACTCTAGCTTCACGTGAGTCACTATTCAGCTGGATGCTTCCACAGATCCAGTAGTAACAACAGTTTCAGTGAGGAGCTCACAAGCAATCCACATGGGTTAGTCCCAACTTGGAAAAGACTACCACATCAATGACAGAAGATGCAAGGGCTACATGTAAAAGATTTCCACTTTTCCTCAACTTAAAGATTATATTTTAACTGTCAACTGACACATCACTCTCTACAGACCAGTCAACACTGTAATAGTTCCTTGCTCCATCACCTCTATTTACACTGACAAATTGAGAGCTGGCCACTATTATAATGAAATTAATACCATCAAAGAGCCCCCATTAATTGGTCTTGCTGTAAACCAGGGTTGGTGTACAAGGAATGGTGTACAAGACAATGAAGACATCATTCAAGACAGGCCTTGCCACAGCCAAGTGCCCGCATCCGTCAATCCTAATAATCTTACCAGTCGTCTTGATGTGACCACATCATATATTCTTAGATGAACTGCCTTCTATTTATATTTGATCAAAAGAGTAACACCAGCGATCATAGGGAACTAGATGACCTTAGCAAGAATAGGATATTAACCATTAGTGACTTCTCGTTTTTTATCTTTATCGGTTCTTTGTGACGGACCGATACGTCGTTTAAAGTTTTTTCTCGAAGTTCGGATTATTTGTGACAGGGTATTGTGAATTTTATTTTCATAAGCAGAGACGCTCTGCCTGTGCAACAAATTATATTTTATGCTCTAAAACCGATTGTCTCACTGTTTTCCTCAGACATATTTTCCTAAATGTGCTGGACCATAGACGCGCGCGCCCGCATGCACACACACACACACACACACACACACACACACACACACACACACACACACACACACACACACACACATTTTCCACACCAGCTCATGTTCTTCAGACGTTGACAATACTGGATGCGCAGCGTCATCCATCACTCTGCGTCTAACTTTTAACGTTTAATATTTATATGTATTAGGAACCAGTGGTAACCATTCAGTTGATTTTAACAGTGGAATCCCTCCCACACACCTTGCACCTTTTTCCTTACCCCTTTCTTATGCCTTCACTTCCCTTAACCCATTCCTCTACCCAATTCCTCCTACCATATCCCCTAAATCTTTACCTAACCCTTTTCCGCAGCACCTTTCCCTAATCCCATCTTACTAACCCCCTACATGCTACATTTCTACCCCCTTTCATTTACCCCTTCACTCATTTCCCTTTACCCCCCCTTTTCCTTATCAACCTTCTCCTGCTCAGTAACAATGCAGGCGAGCAACCTTTGCACCTTCAGCAAGTGTTGCCAGACGAGTGTTAAATATATACTTAGCGAGAAAGTTGACTGATGGTCACTCGCTCGTCTGGTAAACTACACAGGTACAACCCTGCATTGTATATATAATATATATATATATATATATATATATATATATATATATATATATATATATATATATATATATATATATATATATATATATATATATATATATATATATATATATATATATATATATATATTATATGTCGTGCCGAATAGGCAGAACTTGCGATCTTGGCTTAAATAGCAACGCTCATCTTGCCATATAGGACAAGTGAAAATTTGTGTATGCAATAATTTCGCCAAAATCATTCTGAACCTAACGAAAAAAATATATTTCACTGTGTTTGTTTAGTATTAAATTACTGTAAACAAATCTAAAATATATTTAGTTGGGTTAGGCTAAAATAAATTGAGCTTGTTATAATAAGGTTAGTTAAGTTTTCTAAGTTTCTTTTGGTGCAAAATTATAAATTTTTACATCAACATTAATGAAAAAAATATATCTTTAAACGTATAACAAAATATTTTAGAAAGGACTTAATTTTAAATGAGTTCTTGCTAATTGACCAGTTTTACATATTCGGCACGACATATATATATATATATATATATATATATATATATATATATATATATATATATATATATATGTCGTGCCGAATATGTAAAACTGGTCAATTAACAAGAACTCATTTAAAATTAAGTCCTTTCTAAAATTTTCTCTTATTCGTTTAAAGATATATTTTTTTCATTAATGTTAATGTAAAAATTTATAATTTTGCACCAAAAGGAACTTAGAAAACTTACCTAACCTTATTATAACAAGAACAATTTATTTTAGCCTAACCCAACTAAATATATTTTAGATTTGTTTACAATAATTTAATACCAAACAAACACAGTGAAATATATTTTTTTCGTTAGGTTCAGAATGATTTTGGAGAAATTATTGCATACACAATTTTTCACTTGTCCTATATGGCAAGATGGCGTTGCTATTTAAGCCAAGATCGCAAGTTCTGCCTATTCGGCACGATATATATTTATATTATTATATATATATATATATATATATATATATATATATATATATATATATTATATATAGATGGGGGTCCACCTCTGGTGTAAATTGTGGGACCCATAGCCTCGGAGAAGT